AAGGCTGAATGTTGTGTGAATTGTGATTACTGTTGGTGGATATTTATAGGTATGGATAAGCAGGTGGTGGTATCTAGCTCGTGGAAGGCGTTAATTGGTGGAGTGTTGTATTGTGGCTTGGGGGTTTCTCGCCAAGAAGTAGCAGTGTGCATGCTGTTCCTGTCGATTGTTTGTTGATTATGGGAATTTGCTGTAGGATTTTTATTGCTTCGTGTATATACACACACACACACACACACATTCAAATACAACTATGATGTGTAAAAGTTTTCAAACATTAGGGAAAATTCAAATAAAACAAAAAATTTAAAGTGAAAAACGTAAGACAATTCTGTTATGTAATTTTTCAAGAAAACTTGCATATTAATTTTTTTGTAGGGCCAGTCATTAATAGACATTTTTGAAAATAAAATATTAAGGCATTTTAGAAATTGCATGCTTTCATTTTAGATTGATTTCAGTGTTTTTTTTAAATGTGTTTGTGAATTTCCTGAATTTTTTTCTGAGCACAGTATGACACTTCTACCACCCTAGTTGTCATGGTTTGATGTAATTACCTGTATTAAGAATTGATCAGACTTGCATAAAAATAAGAAAAAAGTTATAAAAGCCTAGCTAGGTGATCCTACTAGAATAAAAGATATTTTTTATAAACTTCCACAATTACAGCTCTGATATTTTTTTTAATTTGCAAAAAACAGATTGCTTTGTCATTTAAATTTGATTTGAATTATAATGTTGCAGTATGATAAAAAAATATTTTTTTTGTGGAACAAATGGCATAGGCTTTGTTGAGTCATTTGATGATGTCAAGTTTTGCTTTATGATTAAGGCCACTTTTTGTTAGGCTTTGTGTACTCATTTTGCTTCATCATCAAGGCCACTTTTCGTTAGGCTTTGTTTACTTTAAACTTTATCTGCCCAAGTAGGGTTGAATTGGCAAAGAAAATCACTGAAAAGTAAAAACAAGTTGTACAAATAAATATAAAACAATTTTAAAATTATTAGATATTTTAAATGAAACCTTCTGAATAAAAATTGAATTTAAAGGCAGCTTGTTTTTAACTTGATATGTAAAAAAGTTATTTTAATTGTACACAAGTGATCTAAACATGGTAATCTGTATATGATGTTTTTGATTCAAAATTAACTTAAAATTTACAATTTTATAAAAACATTACAGGAAACTTTTAAAATTTATGGAGACATAAAAATCATTATTCACATCAGGTAGACTTGCATATGAAATATTGAAAGCTTTTCCTTATTGAGTTTCAACTCATGCTGTGAACAAAATGTGACTGCAGATTTCTGCACACCCCTTACACATAGCAATGCATGCATCACTTACCTGTAATTCTCCCACTTTCAAGTGACTCATTGCACAAATAGCAAAGGATCTTGCATAAGTTCAATTTTCTCACCATATTTTGTATTTTCTTATTGGCAGTCATGCTATTCTCTTTGTTACAATCTTTTTTCTGATGCAATTATTCTTACCACTATTGGAATTTTATGAAGTAACTATTTTACTGGTAACATGCAGGGTAAATTGTAGATGCTATGTCAACTCTGATATTGCAGTGTATTTGTCCTATTATATGCTGATATTTCTAGTGGATATCATGATGAAGTGTGTGAATGCTTAATTTGCTTAATAATCACTGTTTTCTTTTGTTTTTGATGTAGGTCTTATTTTTTTCTCTAGTCTAATTGATTTCAAAGGGGGTGGTCTAGTATTAATGTAAGTAAGGTGGTTCTTTATTTATGACTTGCTCATCAACTGTATTCTGGATGATTCCTCTGTTCATACTATGGATTTCTATTCATTTATGAAGCCTTCCCTTTGTGTTCCTTAAGTTCATAAGCTTGTTCACTTCAATTTTCTATTCATCACCCAAATCTAGTTTCTATTCAATTTCAGATCTGGCAATTTCAAATCTTTTTTTGCAACAATGGGATTTTGATGTTTTATTCCATGTAATCTTGTGGTTTTTACTCTAATCTTTTTGTGATGCAAAAGATAACAGAAGATTGGAGACTTGTCTTAGATTTTCCCATCTCATTTGTTATCTAGAGTCATCAAAGTTGATGCTTATTTGCACATGCTTATTCACTTATTTTCATTTTCACATGTTAGGGTTGATTGGATCATCCCTTTTTGGTTTGGCTTTAGTGTCTTCATATGTGTTGTCACACCTTTAGCAGGTTTTTCACATATTCAATATTGATTGTTGCCATTATATGGATGATCAGAAGATTCTTGCTCAGTAGTTGAATTCACAGCTCACTTCTTCTCTAGGAGGAATTGTTCATGAGTCCAAACCTCAGCTTGTACCTACTTGATATCTTGTTCATCCGAGATTTCAATTTTATCCTCTTTCAAGAACTCTCCACATTACTTCTTTGGATTTGCATTCCCTTAAAGTTAGAGTACTCATACTTCTTCATCTGCCATACACATTCTCTTTGATTTGGGAACAATGGATTCTTTTTCTGTGGCATTTCTCATGGACCATACTTGCTTATGATATTGTCATTGTGATCTTGCCTATCCTTAGACCTGTTGTCTGTTGGAATTTCTCTTACTACTCTCAGTTACTTCTCTATGTGACTCATTCATGAGTTCCTGTTGTATTTTCTTTCCTAATGAATCTGGTTTCTCTTTTTGGATAGCTTGAATGTTGTCACATTCTTGCAAAAAGTTCCTCCCTGGCAGCATATCAATCTTGTTGTTCTGTCTTTTAGAGTTGATGCCTGTGGGGTTTGTCTGCTGTCACAGCAGGATTCAGAACCACTTTCAGTGCCAGACAAGTTATGTACCTGTATTGGCCTCAAGTTTTCAGATTCTTGTGTGAATTTTTGTATTATGTCCCCCACAAGTACCTAGACATTTGGATTTAAACCTATTCTTAAGTGTAATGCCTTCTCATTTTGAATCTTTTGTTAGTTGTTCATTCCACCATTGTCTGTGAAGGTATTTATTTTTCACCTCAGAGTGGAGATGTTTAGACTTTTATGCCAATATTTTTCTCACAATTTTTATTTTTTTTTTTAGGTAAGAACTCTATACTTATGTTACAGCCTTTCTACTCTGAGACTTGGGTAGTTAGATAGATCATTGCTTTTTTTTTTCTCCTATTGTAACCTATTTTGCATGAATGATATTTTTTCAAGGGAATCAACATCATGATTGTTGTTCCACAGATCTTACTCCATCCTTCCAAATTGGCTTTTGCAGCAATTATGTCTTGTTTATTATGATATTGCTGACTAAATAATATGTGGATTTCAGGTTACATATCATCACATTCACCATTTGTTGATATATTTGGCGTCCTGGTCTCTGTACTCTTTAGCAGATATCTTAAAAGCTGGCATGGGGACAATTTTTATTTTTGCTTTCAACACTTCACTTGTATCGTGAGTTGTAGAATTTCATTCACTACATGTGGCTATTTTTCAGGCTTGTTGGAATCTGTGTGTCTTGTGAGTTTTTGTATATTCTGCATGATACCCATTGTTAACCATATACATGATATCTGAGATTGTGAAGAATTTTGGCTTCAAACTAATTAAATACACTCTCTTCTTATCCAATGATATTTGTATTTATATGGATTTGTCCAGTCAGTAATGTGTGTTTGCAAAACCAAATAGAATCCTGACTGGATGGATCAGTAGAGTTCTCACAAAGGAGATCCCAAGTTTTTATATATATATAACTAAATCATGATTAGAAAGCAGAACTTAGGTAAGATACCCTCACCTTTGTACAATAAGTCGTGTGGAAGGCAAGAGAGTGGAGATTTATGGATAAGTGATACATGCTCTGTAATGCATAAAAGTGCTTTCAGAAATTTTCAGGCATATGTTCAAACTCAACAAGGAAAAGCTTTCAGTGTTTCAAATTTACTGTAGTTCAAAATATATAAACATTGAAATCTACAACAAAGGTAGGTATTTTTAATTGTTCTCCAAACAAAAAATTATGTATCGCAGTGAAATATTTTCCAGTTTTCAAAGCTGCAAATTCATACAAATATAAAATGTAAATATAAGATATTTGATTTGAAGAAGCTACATATCTTTAGAAAGTTCATCTCAGATTTAAAACTTTCATTTAGTTTTTTTTCAATGCAGTTTAACAAATCATACAACATTAGTGTCAAATTGATTTACCCAGGTATTTTAGAATTAAATAACATCATTCAGTTCATTTTTATGTAAATCAAGTATATGATGAACTGAAATGATGATTGGGCATCCAGCCTGTGCTTTATTGTAAATAAAGGTTTAGCAGGGGTGGCTTTACATCTTTCATGACATTTCTTTCAGTATCTAGTATGGTTACTATAAACAGCAAAAGCAACTTGGCACTGATGTTCCATGCTTAAAATTGGTGTTGATAAGATCATGAGAGATTTAATAGCAGGTATTCCTCATTGTTTGAAGTTACTTTGGTAGAATATGATTCATCTTCCAAGAGCATTCTTGGATTCCATATACACTTGATGGTATTGAGTTCTGGTAAGCATACAGGCCACTCTTAAGTCAGTCCCTTCTCCTTTAAGAATTGTGCAAATCAACATAGCACATTGGTTGTACCCCATTAGCCATTATCACCTATTAGGCTAAATTGCACTGAGATTTGGCTGCACAGATGTTTGTAGGATATAGATGTTATGATATTTAGTATTAATGGTGCCATTTTGTAGGACGTAGCAGTTGTACAACTACCACTTGTTATTTCTGCTCCTACCATTTTTCTAACAACACCATGTACATCCTTTTTATATGTGAAAATGGGCTTGTATGTGGTTCTAGTTTCTCTCCAGACAAGTATACTACACCAGTATAATTTACATAATTAGGTATTTTAGCATAAAGTTTTGCCTAAAGTGTGGTTTTACTTATCTATATACTGTTACTGTATGCAGTTGTGACCAGTAAATGTGTGAATAGTCTTAAACTCTTGAAACAAGTAACATACAATTTCAGTAAGCAAGAATTGATAGTTAGTGGCCACCTGCTTGTATTCTAAATGATGGTTTGTCTTATTTAGGTGCCAAGCAACTATCCCATTAGTGTGGAAGTGGTTTCACATTCTGGTAATGACACTGAATCAAGTGTTACAATAATTGAGTGGCTTTCATTCATGCAGTGGATCTTCACATGGTTGAAAGACTTATTTGATTCATAAATTTTGTACTTCACTTCAGTATAGCACAGGCTGAATGACAAGTTATTTGCATTTCAAATCATATGATTGATCATGAGATGCCTGATTTTCATAACAATGAATTGAAGGAAGTGATTTGGCATTATTTTTTAACAGTGGATTTTGGTTTGTCATAGCTGTAATACTGAAAATACTAATTTTTCCTTTTGGTTTTTGCATAATTGTTTGATTAGGTAATGAATGAAAAGAACTGAAATCTTTTGGACTTGTTTTCTATTGTGGTTAAAATCACACAGGAAGAAGGATTTTTCTGTTAAAAAAAATTTATTTCTTTTATTTAAAATGCAGTGTGTCTTCAAAAGGACTAGTGGATATTTTTTTTCCAGTTTTGTGTTAAAATTCTCTTTGTTAATGGTTCTTAACCCTTGTTTTGTCCCCACAGTTTTTTAAAAACAGTTATTGAATATTTAGTTTTCCACTTTGAGCTACGTGTGTAACTGTAAAAGATAAAACTACTTGCAGAACAAGAAAAATTGTTGAGAATGCTGTTTGATAAAGAAAAACTTCAACATCGAATTGCATAGAGGGAAAGACCGTCTCTAGTACAAAATAATTGAATTTTGTATTATCAATTGAACTTCTAAATAGGATATTGATAGCTTGGTAATATTTTTATAAAATTATCATCATTGAAACAAAATATAAAGTGAATAATTGTGAAAAGTTTATCAAGAATGTTTTTTATCACAAAGGCAAATGACATGTGAAAAATTAACAGTTTATTTTTTTAGATACTCAGAAATGTAAGTTACGGGAAGATGTTGAACAGGAGGCCAAGGATATGGACTTAAACAGAGTCAGAATCTGTTTCATGGCATTTGTCAGGAACCCTGCTTGTCCTGGTTATTGCCAGCCTCTCTGCCAACCTGTTTTTTCAGATATCATTGCAAATCAAAGTAAGTATTCTTTAGTAGGTGTATTAGTTAGATCTGTTTAAACTTGATCACTTGCCTTAGATTGAGGTCTGCAGTGGGTGCAGCCATATTGGATAACCCCTAGCAAACCAAATAACAAAAACTCTTAAGAATATTTAATCGATTAATAACTTGTTATGAAAAATGTGTTTATTGAGACAACTTTAAAACTTTTTCAATGTCAAAAAAGGTTCTAAAAGGATACTGTCTAAAGGGGAGAATTGTATCTGAGCTCCAAGCTCAGGAGGACCTCAAAATTTACATTGAACAATGGGAATATGGGCCACAAATTTCTTTTGATGGATTTTTTTTCTGTACATAAAAATAATTCTGGGAAAATTGCTGTATAATGGATTTATTAAAGAAATACAAATATAGCTAAAATGTTGGAAAACATAAGAATACATGGTGCATTTTTAATATTTTCTACATATCATAAGTAAACTGTATAATTAAAACTTTTTTGGTGTTAAAGAGTAGCTATTAAAATAGGTTTATCCTATATTTTATTATTAAATATATATATATATCTGATCTTGTACTAATTATTATAAGTAATGTATAATCTGTCTAAATTATCTTTGACTTTTGCTAAATTACGGTCACCAGCTTGGTCTACAATAAATTATATTGTATATAAAATATTGAATGAAAGTCTAATTAAAGCAATATTTTCATCAAGAATTTGATAACTGTCCTAACTGTAATACAGGTTTTTAAACACAACTTTTGTCATTTTCACTGATAAAAAATCGTTCTTAATGTAGGCTCTGAAAGTTGATTATGTGGACATTGAAAAAATGTACTAATATTTTTAAAACATCCAGTCAAAACTTATTTAAAAGCATCATTAGATACGACATGAAATAAATACTTAACATTGTGTAATTGCCGTCTAAATATCATTGTTAAAGTGGTAATTGCTACAATGTACAAAACATTTCTTCAAGAAACCAAATTAGCATTTTTTAAATTTCTTTATATTTTATATTTACAAAAACAAAACTTTTTTTGTAAATTTTTACAGAATGCCCTGATGTTGGTGAACTAAAGATTACTCGAATTAGCAAATACACTGGGTTTTGTACTGGGAATGAAGAAGTGTTTCTTCTCTGTGAAAAAGTCAATAAAAGTAAGTAGGTTTTTACATTGCTTTAATAGTCACAATATTAATGAAAAGGTACAATACAACAAATACATAGAAGATAAGTATAATAGACATGTATCTTTCAATTCTGAGTAAGTTTGTTCACTGTATGACTAAATTGAATCTCAACAAGAAACACAATAACCAGACTTCACAGCTTGATAGCTTGTATGTGACAATAGAAAATCAAGAAGTGTTGACCTTTTTGAAAAGAAAAGCATAGTTATTTACCAGTTATTTAGAGTTCATTACCTTTTAGCTTGAACATACAATGCTTAATGCTTAAATGTTCATTCTCAAATTTGAACTAAACACACCTCATGATTTTGCTGAATTAGACTAAAACATTGGTATATAGGACAAAATATTTCTTCTACAGACTTTTAAAAAGTATTCTGTTTTGACCAGCAAAAAAGAAACAGAAATTGATAAACTGTGGGTTAAAAATGGGAATTGGAACAGAGAAAACAAAAATTGTTTAAAAATGCTTTATTGTGTACAACTGCTAGCGTCACTTTGAATAGAAATGGATATCATATCGACTTGACAGTTATTATGGTTTTAAAATCTAACAAAGGGCTTGTTAAACAACCAAGGACATGCAGAAAATGGAGGGTATAATTTCACATTTATAAGTAAAACAATATTGGTAATGAAATACATTCTGTAAAATAATTATATCTTTTGTGTGTATTAGACTTCAATACTTGTGCTAACAAATAAAATATTTTAAGGCAAAAAATGTTCTGATATATTTTATATTTCTTTTGAAGTACAGTAGTCTTATGAGCCAGTAAATTCTTTAATGGCTGGTTGATTATTTCTGATTTAGAAATTAAAATAATGAATATATATTGCAGGACTTGAAACAGATTTGGTGTTCTCCAGTTATTTTCACTTATTGTCTGCTGATTTCTCGTATAGTGTACGGTCTGCCTCTGGCAGCTGAATGTGAGTGTGCTGTATACAGTTTACAACTTGCAAAAATTTTGCTCGCATTGAAAGCAGCCACAGACAAAGGATTAAAGGTTACTTGCACAAGTGGCAGAAAAAAAAAGCATGTTTTATAAACAACAGCAACATTATTATGTACTTACAACAAAATCTGCAAATTGCATTTACCTATTGGTTTTTTCCTTTTCAAATATTTTCTTTAGAATGAATTAGGGAATTCAGTTTCATTGAATCTGTAAATCTTGTGAGCTCTGGAAGCAGTAATCTGACCAGTTTTGTGCTTAAATCATAAAGATCATTCTTATTCTCTCCTCGTAATCAGTTCCACCTTTTTTGCCTGGTTTGCTGATAATTTATAATCAAGAGCAATAGCATGTACCATGTTTGATAGTTCTGCAATAGATTGGAGGCACCATCAGTTTCAGAATCACATTTATATTAATATGATGTGAATATTGCAGCTTCAGGATATCCTTTCTTCAGTTCAATAAGACCTTTCTTTTGTGAATCAGCATCAAGGCAATAAACAGGTATATTACTGACCTCACATTTTTTTGCATGTCAAACAAAGAAAACCTTTTTTGGATGAATGAAGTCAATCTTCTCTTAAACTGAAATACACTGAAAATTACTGTTTTGCAAATACATTTCACATGGACAAAAGAAACAAAATGTAGGCCTAAATTCTCAAATTGTAGCTAATTCCTGATAGTCACAAATTTCCTTTTCATTTTATACAATTGTTAATCTTTCATCTATTATAAAGTCTAATAAAACATGTTTTAAACATGTATTGCTTACATTAAAATGTTATTTTAATACATCTTAACAGGTTACTATATTCTATTTAGCATTTTAGATGAAATATTAATTGGTACCACTTATAAGTCAACTACCTAATGGATTAAAAAAAATATTGTCAGCTGTATTTTCATTAAAGTGCTATCTTTTTTGATGCATTATTCCATGCACATGTGACATCAGTGTATGTTATCTTTATACAAAATCAAATAAAAGCCACCAATTTGAACAGCAAAGCAGCTAAATGATTTCAAACTTCCCATTGTGAACTTGTATCTAAAAGTGATTTGTGTGACTTCGTAATGTCATGGAGATTCTGTGATATCCTCATTGCACATCTGGCCAAATTATGTAGTCATCAATCGAACCATACATATACAAATATGGGTCCTACACTTGTACTCCATTGACAGTTAGTTTTTCTAAATACCTCTTGTGTTCATCATTTGAAAGATGTTTCTTTATGATATGTTGCTTGGCTGAGCCATTTCTTAAGTTAACATGAAACAAAAATCAATTTAGACACCGACCCTAACTATCAAAAATCACTATACTTAGTAGGAATAAGTTTGACACAGACAGAAAGTTATTCTGCTATCAACTTTACACATGTGCAACTGTTACTAAGCAAGTGATTCATCTATATATATTTTTTTTATATACAGTCTACATATAGGACTAATGTAAAAGTGCTGCTGAAAGTGAATAAGGACAGTATATGGTTGGTTTTAAGACTATAAAGATAGAAAAATCTGGTAATATGTATTTATGATGAAAGCCATTAGTATCAAATGCCTTATATTTATTTGGCAATTAAAAAACGGTATTAGAATAGAAGTAGAAGTTTTATTATGTTGCTTGTATTATCTTTTTTCACCAAGAGATAAAAGTTAATGTATATCCAACATAACTTTAAATTATAATAAAGTGTTTTGGAAAGCATTATGAAAGCAAGATTATCCTTTGTTTGTTAGAGGACATCAAGATTAGGTTTTTTGAAGAAGACAGAGAGGGAAATATTTTGTGGGAAGGTTGTGGAGATTTTTCAGAAAATGATGTTCATCACCAGGTAATTACATTTAAGAATAAGGTATGGCTAAAGATTATGGCTATCAAAATAAGAGTAATTTTTCACAAAGTAAACACATTTTGTTGTCTGTTTTGTATCTTTGTTTACTATTATTATTTTTATAAAAGAAACATATAGAAACTAAAATATATTTACAAATGTACAAATTGTTCACCTTTGTGAAATATTTCTTTTGGATAATTCAACACTGACTTTGTATCATTATTGTACATGTGCATAGTCTGATTGCAAAAATTGAAACTTGGATAGATTTCGTTTTGTTTTTGTGTGATTATAAATTCTATGAACAACAGTTGAGTTGCACACAAAAACTTTCTAACAAAAAGTAACTTGCCAAAAATAGTTGTTATTGTGAAGCCTGAATTATTGCATTCTGTCTGTTTAATGCTAATTTATTGCTTACAAAAAATTTTTTTTAAATTATATTCTAACAAATTTTCAGTACAACAGTATAATTTGATTTTTTTTAATGGTGTTGATGGAAATACTTGAGTGTCAAGTAAATATAAGTTTTTCTAATGTTGTTTTCGTTTTGATATACATATTGTATACTAACTGATGAACTTGTCTTAAAAGGTTGCAATTGTGTTTCGAACACCAGCCTATAAGGACCGCAATATCAAGGAAGATGTGAATGTCAAAATTCAACTTTACAGGCAAAAAGACAATCATTGTAGTGGAAACATAGATTTTCTCTATACTCCTGCTGAATATGGTAAGAACAATTGAAATTAAACCAATAAAAGTGAGTAATTCTTAACAAAGATTAAATTATATTGTTCACTAGCAAAGGTACCTGCCTAAGTCAGGCTGAAAAAGTAATGCTTTAAACGAAGAGCATGGTGTCACCCTTTCACTAATGTGAGCCATAACATATGAATAATTAGTCCAATGTAGAGGTACCCATGCGATACTCAGCAGTAATAATTACTGACATTTGGCATTAGAATTGTGCACTTTGCCACTGACCTTGCTCAGTTGAGCCCTCAGTTCATGGCATTAACCCTTCACATTCAGGTCTGATCTTTATAT